AATAACTTATGCTCCCTATCAAGCGGTGAGAGTAGGTGGGTGCATTGATTCATGGGTCGCTTGGTCAATTTCGGACTTAAAGGCGCGGGTCGGGATCGTTTTGGTGTGTTATTTCGTTCGAAGAATTCGAGAAGGGAGATGAAGAATGTTACTGGGGAGAAAAAGCAAAAAGCACAGTAGAAAACACTGAAATTTCCCGGTGGGATTGGCCGTGGTATGACGGAGAGACCCAGCGCTGCTTAGAGAAGGATAACACGAGAGAGCACGTACACGTGAGAGGGCGCAGACGTCACGATTGATGGGAATGGCAATGGTTGCAGCGGTCGAGCGAAAACATCTCATGGAAGCTACACTCTGTTTCATGCAGCCAGAAATCCACGTGGCACACGTGGCTAAATTCTCGATGAAAAGGTGACATCACGTGTGCTCAAAGATGTTCTTGAATCGATGCCACGTTAATGCCACGTCAATTTCTGCAATTGCACAATTTCTGGTCATTTGAAGGTTGTTGCCGACCAATTCACCACAGCCGCTTGACAAGGAATATACGATTCAATCGAAAACATGAATTTGATTCAAATGCCCATTTCTTATTTCCAGTATGGGATATGACAACTCGTAACTAACAGGTCCGTGTGAACTAGAGGAGAAACTATTCTGATGAGAGCGTTTCTTATTGAGGCTATCTTATAACTTGTTCAACTAGTTAACTCTTAATGCCATGAATTTCCCAGATTCACAGCCGTCGTGAAGATTTTTGAAGACCACGTTTCCGTTCTCTCTGAAGCTCGAGTACGGTATTTCATGCAACGACTGGAATCCCATCTGTAAAAGAAGAAAACGATTAGTATTTTTCTTGTAATAGCTAGTAATAATAATGAATCAAAGGAACCCCTTTACAAGTAAGAAATAAGTCCAAGTCGTAAATGGTGATTTAATAGCTGTCGCATTGATTCAAAGGGTGCAGCCAGCGCCAACAGATGGGCAGTGAGTTGAAATATGAAGCTGCGGGCGCTAAGTGACTCGCCAATCAGGGTAAAAACGCAAAATAATGCCATGAAAGCCCTAAATGAGGCCTTCTTTCTGACAAGCCCCAAAAATGGTTATATGGTAGGCTAGGTTTTATCAAGCTCCATTGCAGTGCTTTTTGCTCCTTTTCGAAACAAGAATGTAACATCAGTATGCGAGTGACCGGCTACCGTAACCCTGGCGCCGTCAAATAACACGTGAGACCTCCGCGACCATATACTCGCCGCGAACTTCGTAATGGGACACCGAATGTCTTATGTTATGTCGCGATAAGTTGTTCGTGAACCTGAATACAACTAGAAAAACTTTTACCATCATCCTTCCACAGATTCGCTTCCCCCTCTCTAAAGCTTAGCGCCTGGTAAGCGCCAAGAAGTAGTTGGCATGGGTATATGAAATATGCAGGAGGGTAACCCACAAATACAGATGATAAGGACTGGTGGCCCAAAATTGCAGAGAATTCAAAATTACTGTAAGGATTGAGCTTTGATGGATAACTTGTTAACAAACCCGTGAAAAAACGGCTTGAGAAGCGGCTGCCGTCGCTGCCGTAGCCACCCAGTCGCATCCTTCAGAACGTGCTATTTCTATAGACCTCCTGGTCAGCTCTTTCCCGAGACCATGGCTAAAGATATTTGAATGAAGACGTTTTTAGCTACTTCAAAGGATGGTACAGGTTGCTTATGATGACAAATTGTACTTACCCTTTGGCTTCTGAGGAAACGCATATGATGTCGATTTTCATCACTTTACAAGACCTTGCCAAGCAATTCTCGTTGTCTTCGTTCCAGTGCACCCACAAAGATTGCCAACTGATTAGCTTTGTGCTCTCTATAAGGTCCTTGTGCGATTTCTGAAACCTTCACTCATAGGCTTCGGCTTTCCTTGATGTTTTCAGGAGATTTAGCATAACGATTGTGAACTAGTGACTTAGGCGGGGATGGTGTAGAGGCAAGCCCCTTCCATTCCTTTGGGATATTAGTGTTTCCAGATTCGTCGGTGAAGATGAAAGAGCTGATATCTGTGAGGCCTAATTTTAAGCCCGTATAGTGTAGGTTAAATCGAAGGCAGAGGGCTCTTTTTGCTCCCCCCCCCCTTTGCTCAGAGTTAGCCCGAATTTTTGAGCTCGTGCCAATCGCTCAATTTCTACCGTTCATGAGGTGATTGGCCTTACGGAACCCAGCCAGACACAGAAAGCTTCCTCCATGAGCATAACTATCCGTCCTTGGTTTTAGATGGGTGGCGACGCTCGCTATATGCGGCGTTAGACCCCCTAGACTTTAGTCGTTCCGTGATATTCGATAAGAATTCTGCAGGAAATGTCTACCTTTGGCGTAGTCATGAGTTTCATCGTCTATTTCTGGACTTTCTTCTACGATGTTGTCATCCTCGTAGGTGTTCACAGAACAAAGACAAATAGCGACCAGTCTGAAGAAGACATATGAAGTTTGACAGGGAACGATTGAGAACCATCTGTTCAACTTGCAGAGGCCCTGTCCAATCCTTTCACCGGGCTAGGAAAAAATGTGTCTCTTCAAATTCATTGGTTTTCACTGACACAGTTTCCTACTCTTAGTTCATAAGTACTTTTCCAGATACATAAATTTCAACCGGGCTCCCTTTTAAAGCGATTTTCGTTGGAAATACAAAGAAAAATCGAAGGGGCATTTTCCCTCTGAACTGGTGCGGAATTGGATATCGCTGCAGGAATACATTATATAGATGTCATATGCTTCCTTAGTCCCGAAATTTGGTACTTCCATGCCTCATATGCCCAGGAAGAATTTAATAACTTTCTTAAAATCGAATCTGACCATCTCTAATATTTATAAGAATCGTCCTTCACATTTTACATCTCTCATTAGTAAAATATCCTTTACTTGATCGAGTAATTGATGCACGCAAGTGCAGAGGTTGTGCTGATTTCTCCGCTTTCACGGCATAAGGCGTACGCGTGACTATCTCCATATGCCTTTGTAAAATGAGCCTAGAAATTCCCACCGACGATATTAGGAAGCAGCTGAGTGGCCCCGTACCAAGAAGGCTTTCAAGTACGCATAAGGCCGCATAAGGATCTCTCCGCCAGGAGGACGCTTCCTTTTTCTCCCCGCTTCTATGCTAACGCATAACGCAAAGGAAAACACGATTGCGTCATGCCGCTATACTCTACGTTTCCCCCACCGACAGTTAGGGTAGCACAACCCTTCGAAAGATGGAGAGCTCTAACAGCAGAAGCTCCTTACAGCATCAACCCCTTCTCTACCCCTCCCATAAACTGAGGAGGTAGCATAAAGAGCGGGGACGTGCCTCTTGGAGAAGGACAGCTGCAACAATATAGAAATCGGAATATTGTGTACGATACTTTGAAGGAGGATTCACGATAAGAACGAAGGTCAAAGAAGGGGAAATTGCATAGTTGGGAGACAGGCGGACCTCCTGAGGTGCTGACCGACGCGCAATTGGCAGCGAAAGATTTGACCTCGGCGATCTAGCATGGCTCACTCTTGGCGCGGTTGGCGGGGTACGCCCACCGACTATCTAATCACTCGCCGCAGGTCTATACGTGGCGTGATTAGATAGCAGAGAGAGCGTAGTGTTGAAGAGGGCACAGCGATGAGAGTCGCATCAATGCGCAAATCAACGGGCAAGGAAGGGGTCCCATTTCTCGGGTTTCGGGCCGTTGGTTTCTTCTTCATCCCTGCTCCACTGACCACCTCTACCCTTATTTCCAATGAGCTAACTTTTCATCGTAAATTCTGCCTTCAAGGCTCATCAGACCATACATTTATA